GCCCCCTGACAGTCCCTCCGGGACTCCCACCCCCTATCCAACTGCCCTCTGCCCCATGTCCTCTGACCATCCCCTCCCGGGACCCCCCGCCCCTAACTGCCCCCTGGGTTCCCACTCCCTTATCCAACCCCTCCCTGCTCTCTGTCCCCTGACTGCCCCGTCCCCTATCCACACCCTGCCCCCTGACAGCCACCCCGGGACTCCCTCCCCCTATTCAACCCCACCTGCTCCTTGTCCCCTGACCGCCCCCTCCCGGGACCCCCACCCCCTATCCAACCTCCCCTGCTCCCTGTCCCGACTCCCCACCCCTATCCACACCCCCACCCCCTGACAGGCCCTCCAGTACTCCCACGCTTATCCAATCCCCGCCCCCGTTCCCTGTCCCCTGACTGCCCCCTGGGCCCTTCTGCCCCTTATCCAGCCCCCCAGCCCTGGCCCCCTTACCATGCCGCTCAGAGCAGCGTGTCTGGCAGCCGCTCAACCGGAGCCAGACACGCTGCCCCCGATCACAGGAGCGCCCCCCCCACCCGCCAGAGCGCTGCCTGTGTGGCGCGCTGAGGGGCTGGGGGAAGGCGGGGGAGGGGCCGGGGGTAGTCTCCCCAGCTGGGAGCTCAGGGGCCGGGCAGGACGGGCTCGCGGGCCGGATGTGGCCCAGGGGCCGTAGTTTGCCCACCCCTGCCTTGGCCCCACCAGGGCCAGCTGGAGGGGAGGTATTTGACCTTGCATGGCCCCATGACACATCGCCTGGGGCTCCCTTCCCTGCAGCCTCCTCTGCGCTGTAGGTCCGTTCTCCTGCTGCTGCTGCCTTTTCTCTCTGCATCTCTCTCGAGTGATCAACATTCACTTTCTTTCTCGAATGATCAACTCTTCTTTGGGGAAAAACAATAACAGCAAAATCCCGGACGTTTTTAGATATTTAAAAATTCCTCCAGGATGGCGATTTAAGAACCAAAAAGCCGGACATGTCCAGGAAAATATGGATGTATGGTAACCCTAGGTTATGAGTGTAATATAATATCTCATTGAACGGTGACACAGGGCCAGAAAGAGTTAATTACCTCCCAGACTGACCTGAGCCATGGCCGAACTTTAGACACTGGTTAAGAAGAACTGTAAATGAACAGAGCTTTGAAATGCAGCCGGCATTGTTAGAGATCTCAAGGGTAGGTGTTTGCTCAGGGCTTGTGATGTCAGCAAACAAGTCTTGTCTATTGCTATAGCTTTGAGTCAAAGATCAAAAAAAGAATGTTAACATTTAGGAAGACACTTGAGTGAAATAGTATTATTGTCTATGTGTCTCTTTGAAGGATGTGGGAAACTGTATTTGAACTGTTAATGGATAAATTACCCTGTGCTAATTGCCATGATGTTGGAAAGTTAAGCCTATAGTTTTCTCAGGCCAAGAGGCTGCTGGAAATGTATAAAAACTCTGGGACATGATCCTGCTTCATCTCTGATCTGCTGTGGGTCTCAAGAGTGGGGAAACCTTAAGCCACAAGGATTGAGATCCCCAGTCACTGACTGGAGTCACCCTGAATATGGACATTGGACTATAACCTGTGGACTATTTCTAAAAGGACTTTTGACAACTACAAACTCACCATCTCTGCCATGTAACTGGACCTCAAGAATTGAATTCAAATCTGTCTGTATATTGATTTTTTAACCTAACACTCTCTCTCTCTCTTCTTTTTTAATAAATGTTAGTTTCGTTAATAAGAATTGACTATAGCGTGTATTTTGGGTAAGATCTAAGTTATAATTGGACCTGGGTATGTGGCTGATCCTTTGGGATTGGAAGAACCTTTTCTTTTATACGATGAAAAAAGATTTTCAGAATTTATCATCATGTGTTTGACAGGTGTGTCTGGACGGAGGCTGGGCACTTTAAGGGAACTGTGTTGTTTGGACTTCTAAGTAACCAGTGAGGTAATACAGAGGCTGTTTTGTGCAGGTAAATCTAAATATTGGAATATCCACCAGCATTTGGGGTTTGTCTGCCCCGTTCTGGTTGCAGTTCACCCTGATTGAGTGACCTCAACTGGCTCCCACTGGCATCTTCGTCACAAACAGACACGTTGATGTTTAAAAATACAACAGAGAAGGGGACAGGGCAGGAGATGGAGCGGAGCTCTCTCACCTGCCGCTCAGTTGATACGGAGTGAAGCCGGAGTGACAGCTGGCCAGAGGGGGGAGTGAGGTATAAACAGTGCCCTGCTCTAGCCCTGGGAGTCACCAGCCTGCAGCATCAACAGGCTGCAAAATGACCCCAGATTCACCCCGCCCCAGAGGTTTAAAAGCCGGAGATTGACAGCCCCGGAAATCAGCAGAGGGGTGGGAAGGTGTCTGGATTGAGCCCTTGCTGGAAATGGCCCCCCACCCCCGCCCGCCCAGCGACCCCAATGCTCCTACCTCATTGCGATCCGCTGAGTCCCCAGCCCAGCCAGGGAGGTGACGGCTCCTGTCACTGCACTGGGTTTCTTCCTGAGCTGGAGAAGTGCCCGGTTCTGGGAGAGACCCGAGTTCTGTCTGGGGCCAGATCGGACTGTGTCTGCTGGGACGGTGCTCTCCTTTATATGCAGGTTGAGTTGCTAGCTCGTGATCTCACCTGTTTGCCTGGAGACCTGAATTTCAATAGAAAGGAATTGCTGCAGGAAAGGAAACTAAAACTTAACTTTCAATTCCACTATAGTAATCTTTAACCTTGACTCTGCCTGAATTGTTATAGGACTAATTATGGGGTATGTGTGTGTCTGTGTGTGTGTGTTTGTGTCTCTACGCACGCACACGTTTGCACACGTACAATCCTGCCCTGGGTTTCCCCGCACACAGACGGGGTCACTCACCATTACCACACCGCAGTGCGCTCCCTGTTACGCACCCAATCAACTCCACAGCCCCGTCCAGTGA